TATTGAAAAATCACTCCAAGTAGTTCTTCCGGTCCGGTAAATTTGGCCAACACCAAAATCCGTCTGGAAAGCCAAACCTCAGCAAGTTTACATGTTTAAAGCAGTCATAGACAGCAGAATTTAATGGTACCAGAAAATTTCGCGGCGGCTTATCAACTGCAGCCTGTCGTTGCATAACACAGATAACAAGTGAGAAAGATACAGAGGTTTGAACTTCCACAGAGAAAATCGATGTAAAACAGCAAGGTCATCGTAAACTAATCAATAAAATGGTTACTTCAAAACTCAACATAGGAAAGAAAACGGCGAAGTTAACACGCCGAGGGATTTCGCCAATCAAAAGGGCGCAGATCGACCAGGGCAAGCTGAGGTTGACCACATGGTCTAACTGTTTACACAGTTCGGGTTTCTCGCGCCGTATGTAGGCTGCCTCCAAGTAGCGCAATAACCGAGTAGTTCGTGCTCCAACTAATACTCGAGAAGATGTTTTGGGTTCAACCGAATGACTGCTATCAAAGAGATGCTTTGTAATAGAAGACCGTGGAATCTTATTCTCCTTTTTAGAAGCCATTTAGGCAGGTGCTCAACTGCCCTGGCTGTCAGTTGCCTTTGCGTTCGCCCAATGTACTTGTGTCCACAAGTGCATGTGAATTCGTAGGCACAATTCGACGTGGCGTGCAACGGCAAGGCATCTTTCGACCGCGAAATTTGGGTAGCCTTAGTGAGGCTGCAGAATATGAGTTCAGCTGAGTTGTATGTTCTTTCGATGGCGCATCTCAATCGCCGCTTGATGGTGTTAGAGATGTTGTCGCCCTTAAAGGGTAAGGATATTATAACGGGCTCTTTCGAAACTGATTGCTCCATCAGTTTTGGCCGTGTTGCTATACCTTTCGATGAATCGTGTTGGATATCCCCGTCTAAGCAGGGCGGTTTTGAGGCAAGTTTGCATGTGTTCATCCAGCCACCTATTCGGCCTGCCTTCTACTTTGGCTGGGAATTGCCGTCCAGAGTTCTCATCCCGTAGCACAGCGACGAAGAGCTGGAAAGTATTGTCGAAGTAAACGTAGGAAAACAAGGTGGCAGCAGGGGGCATCTGCGCAGTTCCGGAATACGGAGTATTTTGTGATGCGAAAAGTTAGGCGAGCACGCCAGGATTCGAACCTGGAATCTTCTGATCCGTAGTCAGACGCGTTATCCATTGCGCCACGCGCCCGCTGGGCCTGTTGCATGTCTGATGCGTACTGAATATGCGTTTGGCTCTACGCTGTCATTTTGCTGCATCACGTCTTTCCTTATACCGCTTTCTTTTTTTTTCAGGACACAGACCTAACTAATGCATAGTTCCTAGTATTCACTTCCATTTTTACTTTAACTAACGTTGACTTCCTTCTCTGCACCTCGGTGCATGGGGGGTTTCTTATTGGCTGCCTCAAAATGCTAGCACGCATTTGCCTCTTTTATGGGCTCCGGTATGTCTTAATAACCACACTAACTGCCGCTCTGAACGAGGTGGTCGTCCCAAGCTAGTCGCATTTGAGGCCAGTCCCTTCTTAGTTTTGCCTTATGGCCATCAAGCTGATCTGCGGTCGTTTGGGATATATTGGATATGTGAAAAGGGATTAGGGTTTATGCAAGATTACGCGTGTTAGTAGTGCCTCTCCAGGTAGTGTTGGTCGCCGTCAAGTTTGACGGACGAGCTATCCGTGAGCAGCGTTACGATGCGGAATGGCCATGGACGTTCCAACGTCTGCACCAGGCTCAAAAGATTTTGCGAGACCGGTATGAATTATACCAGTCGTCTCAATTCTGTTAAACGCCGCACTTTTCACGAGAGAAGTACACGAGGTGCTACTTCCAACTAAAGCGAACTTTCCTGCCTTCTCAATGAGTGACGGTTCACAACTACCTCAACTCTATGGGAAAATTGAAGATAATACTCTCTTCTTGTCCATTACCGTTGTTCCTTTTTCTAATGTCCTCTGTAGGTACACGGAAATTTCGGATGCTCTGAGCTGCATGGAAGCAACCCTGCACTGGGGCCACCTGGCGCCCACCTGCCCAGACACGCTGTTTGGTTACCCGCTTGCGGACAGAGACCCGCTCGTGCTGCGAACAACCCTACCTGATAAGATCGTGGGTGAGAAACGGGCGAGAGAGCACGACGTGTCAGTCCCCTCTCCCGACTACCCTGACATCTATGTGGTGGGCAATCAGGCCACCGCGGCCTGGCGAAGAGCCTCGCTCTCGGCCTGGAGTCCGCGGACTGCTGGTGAGGACACTGAGTCGAAGGGGGCCCTGATGATTTCCGTGCCTCGGTTTGATAGGACGTACACTCTGGTTCTTCTCGAATTGCAGACCTTTCGCTGTCTGCCGGTGCGCTTTGACTTCACTGGTCTTGACCAGGAGATGGAGGAAAATGCTGAACAGGAAGAAGGGGGCACCTCCATGGATTGCATCGACTCCTCCGTTGTTGAATGAGTGTAGGAATTGGGACCTTTGTGGCTTAGCATGACACTGAGTGCTTATTTTACTTGATATTATCCGTCTGTTTATGTACA